AGGGGACAGGGCGGCAGCCTTCACCCTAGCTGCACGTGTTCTCCTGTTTCACCACCTTCCAGAACAGCACCCTACCTCTTCTCTCAGGAAATGCTGAGGAAGTCGTAACACACATAACGAAGCAAGCTCAAAGAGGAGCCAGGGCTGTCCACTTACTTTTCCATATTTATCTCTGAGTTATTACTTATAAACTGCTTTATAGTTGACACGTGAACTTTGCGACCCAACTCTCGGAGTCCCCTCCGTTTCCCACTATAATTCGAGAGACTTTATCTTCAATTATGGCAGAGGTAGTTTCTCTGCTCTCCCCTATAAGCATATATTCTGTCTTTGTTCCCCCAACAACTGCTATTTAAAAGGGAGGAGAAGGGGCTTGGGGGAGGAAGTTCTTCTGTAAAAGAACAAATCCCTCTGAGGTTTGAATAAGCACCATAATTTATGGTTCTCACAGCAAAAGCACAGAACGCACAGTCTCCTGGGCTCGCCGTGGCCGGGATGCGGTGGGGAAAGCACACAGGCCTAACAGTTCCGCTGAGGACTGTGCCTGTTCCTACTTGTCAGACAGAGTTACCATTACTGGGGGGGGGGAGGTGGGGGTGAACCTTCCAGCTCTTTCTCTTTAACTGTGAACTGCCAGACTGGGCAGTCCGAGCCCGGGCCTGTCCTCTGCAGGCCCAGCCCGGCTCTCCCTCCCTCCCCCTCCCTTTAGGGCAGGCTCCTGAGCTCCCCCGACACGCGCCCACCCTGGGGCCTCTCCTAGGAAGAGAAGTGGGGATTGGGAGTGGGAGATCTTGCTCCCCAGCCCCTCTCCCAGAAGTTGGGTACGTAGCACAAAGGTCCTCTCTGAGGGCAGGCTTCACTGCCCACCGCTGGGAAACCACGGGCAACAAGGACAGGAAGACAATGCTGCAGGAGCTGCTGTTCTCGGCGCTTCCTGGTCTAGAGCCCTGACTCTTCTGGAGTGGTAACTGAGAGCCTTTCCCTGCTGGAGGGCTGGAGGCCCCAGCCTCCCGTCCTAGACGGATGCAGACAAATCAATCGGCACACCAAATCCAGCAGAGCATAAGAGGACCAGTGTGTCAGGACCAAGCTGGGTTTATACTAGGAGGGTAAGGTGAGTTTAACATCAGAAAAGCAATCACCAATGAAGAAGCCTTCTCAAAAACAAAAAAGTCAAATCTGAATGTAGTCAAGGCTCTAGAAGGAACATGTTAAACTGCACCACGGGAATGGAATCAACAGAATCAGGCTGAGGGAAACCCAAGCACACACGCCCTCAGCGCCCACAGAAAAACTGCTGTAAGTAAAGGAAGGGACAGAGGTAAAACCTAAGAAAACTGGAAGCCCATCAGCCAACCACCACGTGCAGACCTTACGTGGGTCCTGACAGACGCAGACTGTGAAAGAAAGCCTTTCTGACATTTGTACGACAGTGGAAGACATTTACATCGGAAATTTGCTGGAATTAAGAATTGTTATACTTTATAGGTGTGACAATGGCATTATGTCTATACATTATATATATTTCCGTATATCCATATCTTTTAAAGATACACACTGAGATACTTAAGAGATGTCACCACATTATCTGGGAAGGGGGGCTGGATGGGGCTAAGGATGAAACAGACAGCCATGAGTGGGTAACTGTGGAAGCAGGGTACTGGATACATCGTAATTCTTTATACTCTTCTATCTTTGTACATGTTTTAAATTTCCCATAAATAATAACAACAAAAAATCAATAAATCAGTGTAATTCTCCATATTAACAGAACAGAGGGAAATCAGATAATCATTTAAGTAGATGAAGAAAAAGCACTTGGTAATGTTGGAACACTGGACTGAGAGTGAAAACCCTGATTTTAGTCCTGACTCTGTTCTGTGATACCAGGCAGGTCACTTTTCCTCCCTGGGCCTCAATTTCCTCATCTTTATAATACAGTTAAAAGATACGGTTTTTAAAATCCTCCCACCTCTGCTTTAATTTGTTTTCCTACTAATTATTGAAAACCTTTTAAATACTAGATATATCCACATTAACCTTAAAATCCTATGACTAGATCTCTCACCAGTTTCTCATTTATCTTGAGTTTCAACTTCTTCCTATGAGGTTTATTCCAAACCTAAACTTGGGGATTTTGGAGGTCATGCTCCTTAATGAAAACATAAGCAAAATATGACACCAGTAGTTCCATTATGTGTTATTTGTAAATATTACCTCTCCATGCTGAGGGCCTGTTTCTTTCTTTTTTTTAATACAAAAATTACTAGAAGAAAATTTTCAGTTCATCATCCTTTGGATAAAGGAACTATATCATGTATATTCCTCATGTGTAAGCCTTAGGATCTTGAAGAAATTATTCAATCTTACTGTGTTTAAGTTTCCTCATCTGTAAAAATGGGATGAAAAAGTGCCTAGTTGACAGAATTTTGAGGCTTAAATAAATTGAAATGTATAAAGCTCTCAGAACAGTGCATGCAAGTGCTTGATAAATGTTAACTATGACTGTAAATGTCAATGAAAGTCACGGCTACAAATATTCATGCATGTACTGTAACTGTGTCCCTAACTTGTGAGCTTATTAGACCTGCCCTTAAGGGTCCTGATGTCATATCTCAAGAAAGCTGGGGGGAGAAAAAACAACTAGACAAACCAAGAAAATAAGTAAATGTCCTGATGTCCAGACTGCATCTGGACCAACTCCATCAGGATCTCTGGGGGTGGGCCCCAGTATTTTTTAGTCTTCCAGATGATTCCAAATATGCAGATGGTATAAACCAATGATATAAAGACACAGGTAGAATAAGCAGGTATGAAGTAGCTAGAGAACACCTGATTTGACAGCTGAGTTTAAGTTGCGTTTGGAAGGAAAAGTGATGCTTAACTCTAAGGTCTACACTGTTTCTCTATTAAAAACTAGTATCCATGCGAGAGGGTAGAGCTCAGTGGTAGAGCGCGTGCTTAGCGTGAACGAGGTCCTGGATTCAGTCCCCAGGACCGCCATCAAAATAAATAAATAAACCTAATTACCCCCCACCGAAAAGTTTTAAAACTGGTACCCAGAGATTAGAGGGGGAAATAAACTGCAGGCCCTAAAGCCGGCCTCCTTAACGCAAGTGGAAAACAAGGAAGTAATGGAAAATATGAGGGTAAACTAGAAATACAGGAATAAAATAGCTCTCTTTAGATAAAGAAAACCAAAGGCTTACAACCTGTTACTTTTAAGAAGACCTAATACTTACAATCAAAGTCTGAAAGACAACAATCTCTCTGTGCTGCAGGAATTTAATTACCTGGAGAACTGATGGGGACAAACACAGAGGAAACACAAACTGCCTTGAGGTGAGAATGATTCTTTAATGTTCCATCCAATATCTAGCCTAATGGGAAACACATCCTAAAAAGAAAACAAAAACAAAAACAAAAACAAAAAGAGCACAAGTCATAAGGCTAGGATTGGGCAGGGTCTGACTCATGAGTCAGCTGCTCCACTTTCAGTGTCATCACAATCATCGCCCTCATGGACCTCAGGCGGTCCAAAGGCATGCAGCACCAGCTTCCTTGACACTTGGACTGGCAAAAGACTGAGAAGTCTCATCCTGAGGATCAGACCCAAGGTAAGACTTCCTTTAATAAAAGGCGGTATGTCAATACAAAAGGCCTCGTCTGGGTGCTGTTCACAAAATAAGTTGGGGTAAGTCCTCCCCCTGGGGCAGTTGTTGGTTGATGTTAAGTTTGCCCTCCCAGAACATTTTCAGATACCTGTTGAGTATCCTTCTACCCAAAGTCTGAGATGCTGAGTGGGTTTCTATGTTCTAGGAACAGAAGTCAGGACTGTGGCCACTGTATCAGGGAACTGAGTCAGAGGCTTGGGGTATGGTGACAGGTTACTCCCTATTTAAACTGTAAACTAGACAGAATTTCAAAGCTGCGTTTATAAAAGCATGCTAATAGCAACAGACCAAAATAAACGAAAATTTACAGGCGAGCATATTTTGGATTTTCTGTTTTAAATACCAAGTGTTGTCTTTTTTTCCCAATACTTTTCTTTCTTTCTTTCTTTCTTTTTTAATGTAGGTACTGGGGATTGAACTCAGGACCTCCTGCACGATAAGCATGTGTTCTACCCCTGAGCTATTCCCCACCCTCTCGGAATTCTTAATAGACACTTCTTAGTACCCTTCTTTAATTATCGTTTAAAGTATGCGTCCTAGCCTGCCTCTTTAGCCTGTTGGCAAATGAAGTGTTAGTACTTGTACCTTTATTTCATCTGCAGCCCATTCCACACCGTTAGTCGACATTTTCATGTGATAGCTGGAATCAAGGTCCAGGACTCCCTAAAACAAATCATCGTCCTTCTCCAAAGCAGTGCAGTTTTTAAAAACTGCTTGCCACTTGTTGCTGCTGCAGACAGTAATCTCTGCGTATCTTTGGTCAGTGACATGTATATAGGCACGCAGTTTCCAAACCAGAAAAACTATTCAACGTGAAGACCTACAAAACACGATGATAAAATTTGCCACCACTTGAAGAAAAGCACTAATAATTTCAACGAAGCCAAAACACACACGTGAGCTGTGCACACAAGGAGCTCTTTAAAAATAAAAACTAACCATACTAGACGAGAAACAGGTACGTATAAACTTGCTAGCTGACTCTGCTATACTTCACAGAAGTTCTGTCAACAGACCCGGGAGTGGCGGCGGCACCGTCAGTTCCATCCGACCAAGGAAACTTGGGGGCTCCGGGGCCAGGAGGTCTGCGCACCCCTCGAGCCGGGGCCTCCCCACTCTCCATCCGCCGGGCCCCCCAGGCCGCGTACGCTGCTCCGTGCCAGGCCCCGGCCGGCTCGGGGACGCTGCTCCCGGGGAGCTCAGCCAACGCCGCCAGCGGGCGACACAGGGGAGCGGGGCCCACAGGTGTCCCTGAGGGACGCGCCCGGGTCTGCCGCCCCTTGCGGCCACCCCTCCCAGCCCAACCTCTCCGGGAACCCCGCTTACCCGGCTGGGCGCCACATCCCTGCGCTCGGTGCCGCGCTCGGGGGCGAGCTGACAGCCGCGGCCTGTGAAGGTGCGGCAGAGAACAGGGAGAAGGGTCTTCCTCCCGGGCCGTAAAGCCGCCATGGCTGTCCCCCGCCCGCTCCCGCGGCGCACGGCAGAGTCGCGACGGCGCGAGGGGCTGCCTTACGGCAAGGTCGCGAAGCCAGTGGGAGGGGACGACACGGCCGACCGTGCGCTTTCCCCGCGTGTGACAGGCTGCGGAGGCGGCCGGACGGCGTGGGGGCGTCTGGCGGCGGCTCCCGGGCTCCTGCCATTCTAGGCAGCTTGCGCGAGGCAGCTCGCCGCAGGCTCGGCGAGGGTTGAGGTACGGCGCGGCTTCCGAAGGACGTTTTCCCAGGGCAGGGGCTGTTTGGCCCGGAGGCGGGGCTGCTGGGCCCAGGCGACGGCG